TTTTACCCTAAATCATTAGTATAGTCCAGGGGTGCCCAAACTCAGTCCTGGACCGGTTTGAAGGGGGGAGGAAAGAGGGAATATCACATTCGGGACTGTTCATTTTTGTCTCTTTATATTTAGGTGTTTTTTATCTGGCTTTGTTGTAGAAGATTCACATGTGAGAGAATGATATTTGCATTTCTACCTCATGAAACAAAAAGACTGCAACATTCTTTTTCTGAATTGAGTAAGAACCCTTAAAACAAATGCTCATGTAGCACTAATATAAATATTACTATTTCCAAAGGCATTTAATGTACTGAGCCTACTATAGTTGCACAAGCAAAGTTAGTGATTTGAGAAACGATCGAGCGCAGTCATTGAAATCATGGCCTGATTGCTTTCATTTTTTGGTCAAATCCAACGTCCCTTAAGAGTTTATCAGTAGCCATCTCTGATGGTGTCCATATGTGGCTCTTTCACCCAGTTATGGAGTCACATTCGGTTCGGTGCGGGTGTGGGGGGAGGAGGGAACTAGCAGAGAGAGCGTAAAAGGAGTATTATGGTATTCATTTTAGCATGCATAGTAATCTGAAACCACTCCCTTACACCCCCCACCACCCCAAAAGACAGAAAGACGCACACACACACACACACACACACACACACACACACACACACAGAAACACCTCTTTCTTGCATATTGCCATGACAACTGCCAGCACAGGAAGAATATTATGGTCTGTGTTTTCTTTTGGCTGAGACATTATTACTGGATATTTGGTGCTTTGGAGTGTGGAGGAGGGGTGCGCCTGAGTGGGCTGTCATGACAACCACCTCTATATTTCTTTGATATGTAATTATGCTATATGGTGCCTACCACTCCCCATCCCCCCACCCAAGAAATTACATTTGTTTCTATATATGTGTGCATACATATGTGCTGCATTGTGATGGATATGTGCCTCAAGAGCCGTCAGTGTTTGTCATTTTACTTCTCTGCATGCAAAGAAATCCAGGTGGATGATAATGGGGTGAAGATGGTGAAAGGCTAGCTATGGTGACAATATGAGGAGAAAAACGGGGTCCCAATGTCCCATCTATAACTTCTGAAGGCCTCAATCAAATGGTGCCAATTCCATTTTAAACACTTATACAGCAGCATTATCAATGTGAGATTTGAACTTGAGGTAGACCGTCTTTGAACATGGCCTTGAAACTAAAAATCCAAAACCAGATATGCACTCTTAAAAATAAAGGTTCCAAAACTGGGTTTTAACAGTGATGCCATAGAAGAAATTTAACTAAACTTAAACTTTTATAAGAGTAGTGTAAACATATATTAAACAATGTAAGGTAGCTTTAATGGATTCAAATAGCTCAAATCACTATTACCCTGTAACTTGTTCAAACTGAAATGTATTTCAAGTCTTACTGAAATTAAACCAGCCAATAAAAAACAATACACATATTCGAGATGTGTATTAAAAATACAATAATCACGGATTTGGACATGTCTCTGGGTCTACAGGTTGTGCATATCACTTCTGGTCACTAGGAGGAGCAATATCTCTATGCCAGATTGCACAGTCAACCACTAGAGGTGATCATCAACACATTCCTTATTGTCTGTCACCATGATTACTTTTACCCTAAATCATTAGTATAGTCCAGGGGTGCCCAAACTCAGTCCTGGAGGGCCAGTGTCCTGCAGAGTTTAGATCCAACTTGCCTCAACACACCTGCCGCGAAAAGAATATTATGGTCTGTGTTTTCTTTTGGCTGAGACATTATTACTGGATATTTGGTGCTTTGGAGTGTGGAGGAGGGGTGCGCCTGAGTGGGCTGTCATGACAACCACCTCTATATTTCTTTGATATGTAATTATGCTATATGGTGCCTACCACTCCCCATCCCCCCACCCAAGAAATTACATTTGTTTCTATATATGTGTGCATACATATGTGCTGCATTGTGATGGATATGTGCCTCAAGAGCCGTCAGTGTTTGTCATTTTACTTCTCTGCATGCAAAGAAATCCAGGTGGATGATAATGGGGTGAAGATGGTGAAAGGCTAGCTATGGTGACAATATGAGGAGAAAAACGGGGTCCCAATGTCCCATCTATAACTTCTGAAGGCCTCAATCAAATGGTGCCAATTCCATTTTAAACACTTATACAGCAGCATTATCAATGTGAGATTTGAACTTGAGGTAGACCGTCTTTGAACATGGCCTTGAAACTAAAAATCCAAAACCAGATATGCACTCTTAAAAATAAAGGTTCCAAAACTGGGTTTTAACAGTGATGCCATAGAAGAACGATTTTTGGTTACCTAAAGAACGTTTCAGTGAAGAGTTGTTAGAAGAACCACTTTTTTCTTGGCGTATAGAACATTTTAAAAATCTAATGAACCTTTTTCCACTATAGATAACCTTTTGTTTAATGGAAATGTTCCATGGATGTTAAAGATTCTTCATTGAACCATCAGTGCCAATGAAGAACCTATGTTTTTAAGAGTGTATTATCTGCCATTTGGGCTCATTTTTGGACCCCAAACCAAAGTTGGTTGCATGCGGGCAGAACAGTTGCATGCTAAAATGCCATTGGCCTGAAGAGCACTAACTTTAAGTTTGGATCATATATGGTGTTTTATACGCTCACAAATGTCTACTGTAAATACAGAACTGTAATAAGGAAGCAGGCTGGCGAGGAGTTGCTAATCGACTTTTTTCCCCTCTCTCTGTTCAGGTGTGTCTGATTGGGGTAGGAGCTAAACTCTTCAGGACACCGGCCCTCCAGGACCGAGTTTGGGCACCCCTGGATAGTCAAACACTCAACTAGTAAATACACACTTAATTTTGCAGACAGTCTCTTTAGTAATTGTTTAAATGTTTTAGTGTTTCCTAGTCTTGCCCTAAAATTTCTTGTGTTATTAATTTTTGGGTTTACATCTACAAGATTTATGATGTTTTGTTCTCCAGGCAGTTTTACTGTAGTTGGATTATGGATTTCAATAAACACCCTATATGGATCCTAACCATCCTTAAGACTGCTGTGCTAGAAATTGCAATAATAACCTTACCATTGCGTTATGTTGGTTGGTTGGTTAAAAATAGCACATACAGTATCTCACAAGCACATCTGGAAGAGAGGAGATGCCATGAGTCAGTTACTGGAGACCTTATGTTTTCATAGTATAGACTCGGTCTACACTACCACTCCAGACACTAGATCAGAAAGCTTTGAGAACAGAAAGGTCTACAAACTATAGAATATGTAGCAAAAATATAGTGACTAGTGTATTTGGAAGGTCTAAAAATTTCCACCTACTTCAACTTAAAAACTTGAGTTCAGCTGCTGACTTATATTAAACTGACGTTACAAAAATCAAGTTAAATCTTGTATAACTTTAAAAATGGTTAAATTAATTTGAAGTTTAACTAATAGAAAAACATATGCTGACTTGACTCATTGATCATATCATTTGTACAGTGTACAAGTTTCTCATCCCAAGTACAAATAGCATGACACTTACTGGAAAAAAACATTTTTGATCTTCTATTTAACTATTCAGGTTGTGATCTGAATTCATTCCATATGAGAATATATCCTATATCTATTTCCATGTGACCTACAAATAAATAAGACAAACCCAGGGCGCCTAAAAGCATTATGAATGAATAAAGAGCATGCATTTGACCTGATTTCAAATGTTTCCAATGGTAACGGTTGCAGGTTGGGAAAATTACTCATTATCTCTTGCAGTGCCCCATGCGTCTCATGCATAATTTATTTATTTTTTAATCAGAATGTTTTTTTTTTTTACACGTCTATACTTACAGTAATTTGTGTTGTATTTCATAGTGTGTTGCAGCGGGGGCCCTGAAGCTAATGCATTATAATTAACATCCATTGTTTACTTACAGAACTACAATAGGTCCATGTGATAAAAATGTATCGATTGCAATGCTTTGGAATATGATGGGGGTGGGGAATATGAGGATATGGAAATGGCACAGCCATTATATGGTAATGTATATCGAATGTGTCATATTCATAATGTTCATTCTGGAAGCCTTGACCAATTACTTCCCTTTTCCTCATGTTTACAATGAACATTGTGTGTAAATGTCTGTATGGTGTCTGAACGTCTAGTCAGTGTCGGCGATATGAACCTGCAAACCTGTAGTAGCTAATAATGCAGAAATCAGTTTATGCAGTTTTGCCGAGGAGTTGCTAATCGACTTTTTTTCTCTCTCTCTCTCTCTTCCGGCTCAGTTCCCGTTCATTCTTTTTTCGGAGTTATGGTTATTGTGGGATGTCAGTGACTATGTTTATTATTATGGGATGTTAACTGGGGTGGGAGGGGGTGGCTGTCTCCATGGCAACTGTTGCTAAGGGCACGGTGGAATGGGGAAGAGAGAGTCTGTCTTTGGTTGTTGGGGGGCGGTTATTATGGTCTGTATGTTGCAAGGTAACTATGCGGTGGGGGGAAGGGTGAATGTCTGTATGTATGTGTGAATATGGGGAGGGAGATTATTATGGGATGTCTGGCCCCTGATCTCTTTGTGTCTATGCAAAGGGTGTAAGTGGCAGAAGGAGAAACTGCGACGTTGTGTGCATCCTACAGCTGAGAAAAACATAAGCTGGATCCACTTTCACTACATATTCATTAGAAACAGGGATATTACAAATTTTTTTAAGGGTTGATGAAAAGGAGCCTATACAACGTGGGGACATCTTAGATTGAATTAGCTGTTTGTTTGAAAAAGGGAACAGGTCAAGTTGTGTGAGTACACTTTCTAACATTGCATTACATTTATTCTAATTATGTTTTTATTTATGGCATCTTTTAATGCATGTAGAATGAAAGGAATCTTAAAAGTTATGGAGACTTTGCAGGTTAGCATCCCTAGCCTGCTTAGCTAATGCCTCACTCACATCATGCCCCATTTGCCTATTAAATCTCCATAACTTGTTTCAGCCGCGTATTTTAAAAGTTTAAGCATGCCCTTTTTTCAGTTGCATTAAACCAAATTATATTTGTTCACTATTGTTAGATATATTTGCACGCTTTTCGGATTTTGCTTCCTTGGCATGGAGTGACCAGTGATCAGCATGGTACCGTGACTATTAACTTCCGTTTGTATTGTTCTTTTATGTTCTGTCTCCCCCGGCTTCAGGAAGGCACCAGAGGAGGCGAAATCGGCATACAAGTGTCCACAATCCTCTCTAGCTGGTGTAATCAACAATATGTCCGTCAGTGAGGACGACAGAGACGATTTTGAACATCGGTCTATGATGCAAGGTAAAATATTTACGCTTACTGATGCGGGTCAACTCCACTAGATTAGTCGCTGTTCATGTTGTTTACTGTGTATGTGAACGAAATGTAAATACACGAAATGTTTAAACGGATTATTCATGAGGTATTTTATGTTCTCAGTTGGACTTCATTGGTGCGAAACTTAAATTTATTCGACGAAGCAGTGGCTATTCGGCTAACGAAACAACAAGCGTGGTTGATTCTAGATGTTTCCTTTCTTATAAAACATAGTCAACCGGAATTGTCGTCTTTGAGTAATTCATCTTATATATTTGGATACCTTTGCATTTTATCGCCCCCTTGATGGTTTTTAGTCAGCGCTTTGTTTTGCCGGTTTTTTACGCGGCTAACCGTGGACTTACCTGCTATTTTTGTTTACCGTCACACTCAAATAATGTCTTCATATTAGTCAAACATGGCACAGAACGCAAATCTGGGAGCTTATTGAGCAGTACTGATGGTTTTATAGCAACATTAGATGTGTTATGATGTTGTTGTACCGGCATCGGTGCTTAGCGGCCTACCGGTAACAGTCGCGTGAGAGTTAGACGCGTGAGGTTTTTCTGTGTCTTCGCGCTCTGGCTGTTCGCGCGCCGTCGGCCTGTAGCTTTCAAGCTCGAAAATGCTATTTTGCGTGTGAACTAACTATAAGCGTTGATTTTAAGTTTAATATTTTGATTGTGCACTTCAGCGTGTGCAGGAATCGGATGTGACGCCAGTTTTTTCAGGGAAATGGTTAAAGGGGGGCTTTGCCCGGGCATTCAGAGTGCTGAATGGAGCAAAATACTCGGTGTATTTATGCCTTACTTTCTGTCTTACACGATTAGTAAGATTTATTTTAACCACTTCAGGAAGGAAATTATGATTTCATATGTGTTGTGTGTGTGTACGCTTAATTTAGTATCTATGGTGTAGTTAGTCAACTCAAAGAGGCTTCTATATTAATATACCGTGGTACCTGGAGAAAAGCCAGTATATTGTTTTTCATAATGAAATTCGAGGCAAGTCCATTAAGATCTTATCAGATTACTGTCATCCATGGGAAAATTTAGTCAAGGACTGACAGGAATAATAATAACGACAGTGCAGTGTCACTTCCCTAAACAGACATAGTAAAATCAGTGGCATATGCAGCTGACACAAAATTACATGTCCTTAAGTTCAGTGTTTGCAATCCTGTTACCAACAATATTGTATCTGGTTATAATGCTCAGGTCTCTTGTATCAGTGATTTTTCTTCGGCCATTTAATACTTCCTGTATCACAGTGTAATTGACATCACTTCTCACAGTATAGCGCACAGGATGATTTTGAACCGACCCAGATCAAATTACTAAAATAGATTTGTAGATGACTAATCTATTGCTGTCCTATTATTAGATTAAATGTAAATGTCAACGCACTGTGTTGATGATTGATTGGATTAATCTGAGCAGCTCTTTTTCTAATTACAGGGTTCGCATGCTCATGAATTTAATTTTATTTTTAATTCATTTATTTTACTTTTCAAATGGTAATTTCCCGGTCTGACAATGAGGAAAATCAGTAGAAATTTCATAGTGAATATACAGAATATATGGACTAACTCTTCACATAAAAATGCAGGCTTAATGTTTGAGTTTAAAATATTAAAACAAGTAGGTAGGCGTATTTCTCAGTGCAATTATTTTTTATTAATATTTATAGAATAATTCTTATCCGAATGACTGGGATAGAATAATTTATCAAGGGAAAAATAATTACACTTTAAATAATTGAAATAAAAATAAAAAAAAAAGTTTTTCATTTATTGAAATTAAAATAATTTATTAAATGATTTGTGTGTTTGCTCCGCAGACGAGGATGACCTGGACGAGGAGTTGTCAGAAAATGATGCCCCAAAGGTGAAAAAGAAGAAGAAAGCCAAAAAAAGTAGCCGCGAGAGCAAAGGCAGCAAGAGGAATCGCTCCCGGAGAGAGGTAATGGCCTTTTCTGTGAGTGTGTGTGGATATTGTTTGTGTGTGATATCCTTGGAGAATGCAATATTCGCTGTCCTTATGTTATGGATTAGAAACCTCCCCCACAGTGTCTTAATGAGAAACAGAGCAATTTAGCTGGCGCCGCAAATGGGATAACATGTCCTAATGACTGTTAATGTCAAAGGTACATAATTCCATTTTTTTAGCCACTGAATCCAGATCCGACTGCTTCATTAATAATATCTGCTGTTGTGTTCAAAAGACTAAGTGCTTTTGTTGTAACATGTAGTCATGTAGTCTACTATCCAAATTTAATTTGTGCTGCAAAATCTGATTCTTGACTAACTGGTCAAGTGATCCCTTTATTTTTTTTTTTGAAATATTGAACATAGTATAAACAAGTCAGGTTTTAATCTTATAATACAAGCTGAGTCATTTAATGTAAAGATTGCAAACTGGTTTTTGTAACGTCATAAGTGGTTGTTAAAAGGACTTTGTATGAATGCGAGCTCATGCACAAGTTGGATGGGATTTTTGCTTGCTTGAGAACTGAGATGGTGATACTACTGTCATAATGAACAATAATAGTTAATGCTAGAGTTATGCAGGAAGCCTAAAATGATTACTAGGCTGCTTTTTTTTTTAAAGTTTTGCATTTATCATGAGTGCTTTGCCATTGATTTTTAACTTTAAAAACTATGTAGAAAAATGTACGATTGGGTGCTGGTTAATGAAATGAATACATTCTTCAAATAAAAATGTGCAATAAATCATCTAACAACAAATTGATTTATTTCCTCTATTTTTATGTTTTTGGGTAGTTGATATTTCCTGCTGGATTAAATGTCAAACTATTTTAATTAAACATTTTGCTAATTATTTTACAGTTATGCCTGCTGATTTTATGGCTATATATGTTAGTGTTTATGTACATTAGATATTTGTATATTTAAAAATTAACTCACCTTCAGAATTGTTTTAAAAGAAGGAAAAAAGTGTTAACAAATGATGATATGCTATGAGTTAGTAAGATTTTTAAATCTTTCTGAAGGAAAGTCTTTTATGCTCACCATGGCTACATTTATTTGATAAGCATAATAATTTGTGTTGCTTTGATATTTTTGTAGATACAGTCCCCCCCCCCATGTCACTTTTGATTAATTAAATGCTTTAAAAATCTTACGAAGTTCAAACCTTTGAATAGTATAATACATTAATATAAACCTTATCCTAAGATCCTGTTTTGGACAATGGACTAGGGATTTTACCAGCATCCAAAACTGATCAAAAGTATGTCCTGTGTGTTCTCCAGGATATCGGCATCAGTTCTCCGGAGCCAGTGGAAGGCCCTGATCCGGACGATGGTGAAGACCGTTCAGAAAGCGAGGGTAGCGACTACACACCTGGCAGGAAAAAGAAGAAAAGAGCCTGCACCACAAAGGACAAAAAAAGAAGCAGCTCTGGTGCCGACAGAAACTCAGCCGCTTCAAAACGGAGAGAACCTGAGGAAGAGGAAGACGAGGATGATGACGATGCTGTGAGTTCTAAATTTAAAGCTAAATTAAGTGCATGACAAAGTAAATATAAATTGAATCACTCAGTTCTATAAGACGTGTTTTTCTGAACTGATTTTAAGGAGCCAAAAAGTTCTTCTCAGCTTTTGGATACCTGGGGTATGGAGGACATCGATCATGTCTTCACTGAGGAAGACTATAGGACTCTGACCAACTACAAAGCCTTCAGCCAGTTCGTCAGGTATGAGTGCATCATCCACACATGAGAAAAATCATTGAACGTTTTTCATCACCATTAAAACAAAATTGACAGTACTTTTTTTTTTTTTTATGTAATATTGAAGTGTTTATTATAAATGATTTAGCTGTGCACAACATTACTTTTATTAAAGTCCATGTGGTCTCACAATCTTTAAACAATTTTAAAGAGTCCCACCCTACTGTTTTCTTTCTCTCATTCGAGAAGCTGTTTCATGTGTCACAATAGGAAAGAAAGCATGATTTCAATGTTTCATGCTGATTTTAACTGCTGCTTTTTCATTTGTGGACATATTAGAAGTGGTATCTCATAACTTGCAATATTTGCTCATCATAATCATAAATAACTTGGTGTCTAGTCTGACAAAAGTATGTTAGATGCATGTCTAAAGGCCGTTTCACACTGAGAAAAAACATGTGGAAAAAGTGAGGCGAATTGCCGTCGGATGTTGCTTTCACACCGAGCGCGAAACGTTTGATCGCCTTCTGCTAATTCACGCCTGCACGCTAGGTGGCACCGACCAGCAAACATATATGTGTCTCATATATGGATTTAACATCGTCCGCTGCTCAATATACAGCATTAAATTAAGATAAATAAAGTTTGATTCTATGCCAGAAACACAAACTATCTATAATGCTTACAGAAAACATCTTAAAATACAAACAGAAGTAGCATCAAGACACATTTGAAAATGTATGTACGTTAGTTATTAATGTTTTTGCTTAAAACCCATTTTAAACCATCACTGAGTGCTTGTAATGACTTCCGATTGTGATCTATAGTTGATTTCAATTCTATAATAAGCAGACATGCACTCTTTGTCTGTTTAATAACGCCACACTGCTTATTGTCATAAACATCCTTTATTGTTATGAATATACCATGAGCTGCAAAACACATACAGAAAATATATCATCATAATCATATGTCTATTTGCTTTCATGTAGTATGTACATTTTTTAGAAATATATTTCACTCAATTTCTTTTAATACGGAAGATCTAGAGTTAACGCGCTCTGACTCGTATAACACTTGCACACGTGGAAGAAAACGGACACTCTAGATCACATAATTCAGTGGAGAATTAATAGAAATTATATTAAGAACATGTGAGAATAAATCTGTTCTCAGATACCAAAGATAACAAGAACTCGGCATCCACTCTCTTCTCTCTCGGAATCGCTCGGAATACTATTCTTCGTTGTATTTATTTACACTAGTTTTCGAAACAGCGCCACCACTCTTTGCCTTTTTGTGCAACAGCAGCTGCTCCACGCACGTGATCTAAGCTCAAATCTGATTGGACGGCCCGTTTCATCGCGGAGCGACGGGGAAAAAAATCGACACACAGGACGAAAAAAAAATATCTTCGCTTTTTCGCACCACGAATGATTGCTCCTAGTGTGAATAGCCCCATAGGGATCTATTGTTTCGATTCAAAAGCGTCATCGTGCCGAACATTCACGCCGAATTTTCGCATTCAGTGTGAAAAGCCCTTAACTGTTGCTGTAGTATTTTTTTTTTCTCCATTTCTGTCACCTGATGGAGTTTGAGTTCCTTGCCATTGTCACCTTTGGCTTGCTAAGTTGGAGTTTTAAAAGACACTTAAAGGGATAGTTCACTGAAAAATAAAAATTGTCATTATATACTCACCCTCAAGTTGTTCCAAACCGGTATGAGTTTATTTTTTTCAACAAAACAAACAAAATAAGATCTTTTGAAGAATGTTGGTAACCAAACAGTTGAAGGTAGCCATTGACTTCCATAGTATGGGGGAAAATACTATGGAAGTCAATGGCTGCCATTTGGGTGAACTATATTACTGATTTGACTGTACCGACACTATCAGATGAGAACAAAACTTGAGCTTGAGCCGAATCACACCATTATCTTATGTAGAGCTGCTTTTTAAGCTGAATGTTTAATAATTTATGAACTTTTACACAGTTACTGAACTGAATCAGCATTAACCTTGAGCTGAATAAAGACACTGTCTTTTTTTTAGAGCTGCTTTGACTCATATTGACTCATAAGTTTGCAGAAGTGTGCTATAAAGGTTTGAAACGATGTGTATTGAATAAAGGTCTAGATAAATAAAGGTGACTTGTGTGGAGTGCTGCATGATGTTAATATGTGCTGGTCTGGAATATGTTGTTGACTTTAAACCAATATAAGATTGATGGCGATGGCAATCAAATTTAAATAGATCTCCCTCTAAATTGTAGCTATTATGTCCTCCTACAATCTCACAGGCCTCTGATCGCTGCCAAGAACCCCAAAATCGCTGTTTCCAAAATGATGATGGTTCTGGGAGCGAAGTGGAGGGAGTTCAGCACTAACAACCCTCTGCGGGGCTCGGCTGCTGCCACCACAGCCCTGGCGGCCGCTAGTGCCGCTGTAACTGTTGAAACAGCAGCAGAAACTCCAGCCACTGCAACCGGAGCCCAAATCAGTGCCGAGTCCACACCAGCAGCTCCCGTACGCAAGGCCAAGACAAAAGAGGGCAAGGGTGGGTGCAAACTTGTTTCAATTCTTCTAGTTTGTGTTTTTATGATTGGTTTTTCACCATGTGAGTTGAGCGATTGCCTGCTGTAGCAGCTGTTTTCTGCAGCGTTCATTTGATTTGTGCGTTTTCATCTGAACAGTATTATTATGGACATTCAGCAGTTGTTTTGCGCTGTGTTGAGGAATCATGGTTTCCTTGATCGTTTGCATCAACTTCATTGTGCTAGATTGTTTTTAAATTGTGATCTTGTCACATTATATTGGTTCCCGAGAAGCTATTATTTAAAAATGGAGCACTTGTTTGACCCAACAGCAAACCGCTGTTGCTCATTTCACGTGCAAAAAAGGAAAGCAAACATGGACTGCTTATTGGGTTTTGGTGCAGAAAACCTGAACCTCAGATAAAAATGTCGTGAAGTTAAGATTTTCAAAGTATGTGAATTAGTGGTCGACCGATATGGGTTTTTTGACAGCCGATACCAATGCCGATATCTTGGAAAGCATGGTGAATGATGGCCGATATAAAGCCGATATAATTTTATTTATTTTAATTCATATTTAAGAAATTTGAAATCATTTGAAAATGGATTAAAAATAAACGTGTAAAATAAACATACTTGTACTCTAGAAGACATACTTATACTCTAGAATTATTAGATAGACTTCTATCCGTATTAGACAGAACTGAATGACAACAGCGAACAAGAGGGAGAATGTGAGCACTGTGTGCTCAGGCGCTGCCGCAGCCGTTCTCGGTGCCGTCAAAATAAAGGTCCCGCCTCGAACACATCGACTAAACAGAAAAACTTATCGGGCGATGCCGATATTTAAGGTAAAATAAAATGGCAGATATCGGCCGATATATCGGCCTTGGCAATATATCGGTCGACCACTAATGTGAATGCAAATTTAAGACATACGAAAATGTATCAAAAGTTTGGGGTCTGTATAAGGTTTTATGTTTTTGGAAGAAGTCTAGTTATGCTCACCAATGCTGCATGTATTTGTTATTACAATTTAAAATGCTGTTTTCTATTTAAATGTGTTTTAAAATGTTACCTATTCCTGTGATGCAAAGTTTAGTTTTCAGCATCATTCCTCTAGTCTTCAGTGTCACATGATCCTTCATAAATCCAACAAAACAACATGCTTTTTACATGCTAACAGGGTTTATTTGTGATGTAGGAGTTCTTAGCCAATAATTGTTTGCGTGCTGCATTGAAAAATTATGCTAATTCCTGCGCATTTCAGGTCCCAATGCACGCAAGAAGTCCAAACCCGCTCCAAAACCTCAAGAGAAGAAAGTGAAGACCAAAAAGGTTGCTCCTCTGAAGATCAAACTCGGAGGCTTCAACAGCAAAAGGAAACGCTCATCTGTAAGATCCTCCGTTCTACTTTTTTTTTTTTTCTCTTCCTTTTTTCCAGCTTACCTTTGCACTTATCCTTTAACCTTTTAGCAGTGAACGATGTTGTTTTTTTCTTCGCTCTGCTCTAATTTGAAACATAGCATCTTGCTAATGAAATCCAAGTAATTTTCTGGTTATTTATCAGGCTCATGGTGCATTTCTCTCTGCCTCCATCTCCTTTTCTCTTTTTTAGAGTGAAGAGGACGATGTTGACGTGGACAGTGACTTTGATGATGGCAGTATGAACAGTGTATCCGTTTCGAATGGATCAAATAGCCGCAGTAGTCGCAGCAGCACTAAAAAGAAGCCCAAAAAGAAGACGAAAAAAGGTGAGGATCTTGTTTTCTCTCTATCTGTGCTTGTGAATAACTAATAGGCTTAATCAGGCCAAGGAAAGGCCTTGTCTGCATCATAACCTCTTCAGAGAGCAACTGAAGAGACCAAAGATTTTGTAGTTTTTGTTGCATTCATGAGAGAACTGATTTGGAAAACCGTGCATCTTGTACATAATAAAACCGTCGGGAATATTTGGAAAGCCTAGACTGAAGTGTTTGTGAAATTAGAGATCCTCCCCTAAAAATGAAATCAGTTTTATTTTCTCCCAAATAAAGTTTTTTATTCCCCAAATGACAATTTTCCCCCCATTTAAATTTTTCTGGACTCCTTTTTTTCCATCTAAATTTTTCTAGTTTTAATGATTTAGTTATTTTTTTTTACTAATCAGAAATGTATATCTGATCTATTGAGTTCATGCAGTTTTAACAGTTTAGTCATATATTACATTATTTTTTTTTTTTACAAGAAATGTCCCAATGACATGTTTTTTTTCCCCTGAAATTGTGTTGTGCCTGTTTTAGTTTTTCTTTATGATTTAAAATAAATTTATTATCATAAACAGTAGGGCTGTCAAAATGTAGCCTTATCAGTGGCGCACGAAATGCGACGAAAATAAGTGTCATTGCATTTTAATGCTTTTGTTAGCCTATCCAGTTGAACCCACTAGATGCGGCGCTGCTACGTTGTTCATTTAATATATTGTGGAAAACGAGAGCATCAGTGTGGCGAAGATGTTGTTTACAGCAAAACTGAAACCAAGCCGTTCACACAGAACGCATATTTATCACATCTATCAGCGTTGCACTCGTGTCGTGTACAAGAGAGCGGCATGTTTAGAAAGCCATGTAAAATTAATAGGGGTGTGACGAGACACTTATCCCACGAGACACGAGACTGGGTTCACGAGAACAAGACGAGATTTTTAGACTTTTTTTAAAGAAATCCTCAATGATGAAATATATAGGGATAAATAGTCTTAAAGGATAGTTAGGGCCCTGTGAAATCCGTTAAATTTTTTTCCAAATTCCGTTTTTTCCTTTTTAATTTTTCTGGATTCCTTTTTTTTTTTTTTCTCGACTCCATTTTAATAGTTAAATTAAATTTTATTATTTAAAAAGCATGTCTAATTAATTAAAATCATGAAACTTATACATTTTCACATCAATTTATTAAAAGTTTAACAAAAATTACATGTTTAGGGCCCTATGAAATGTTTTATTTTTTCTCACCATATTTTTTTATATTTTTATTGTTACCAAATTCTGTGTTTTATCATGTCTAATTATTTGAATGCATAAAACAACTTAATTTATTCATTTTTTTTCTTAAAGTAGCCTTATGAATTTTTTTTTCCCCTCAGAAATTCTGTGTTGTGTATTTACATTTTTCTGGTTATCAAATGAAGGCATAAAACATTAATTTAATTAATCATTTATCTTTTAATTATTGAAAATTAAGCAAATTCAATTATAATTCTTTTTTTTTTTTTTTACATGAAAATTTAACATTTCCTTTTATTTTTTTGGCAAACACTGCTGAATGACAGATGTTTACTGTTAAAAATAAAACATGGAAGAAAAAAGGTGATATTCCTTAAAATAAAGTTTTAATTGTATTATTACTTTAAGAAGGAACTGTACAATAGTAATATTTATTTCCGTTACAATTTCTTGAAGTGGTATGACATTGTGTTATACTGTTAATAAATTTTTTTTGACTGGATTCCGCATTTCCGTCCAAAGAAACATCACAGAAATCACAGGGTCATCCTATCAGTCATTAATGTAGCCTCTCTCTTTCTCTGCTAGGTGATGATGATGGTGATGGATATGAGACGGATCATCAGGATTACTGTGAGGTCTGTCAGCAGGGAGGAGAGATCATTCTCTGTGACACCTGTCCACGAGCTTATCACATGGTCTGCTTGGACCCTGATATGGAGAAAGCACCGGAGGGCACCTGGAGCTGCCCACACTGTGTGAGTGAACCAGCTCTGAATCGCCACATGAGTTCAATCTAAAACTGCAGCAGCTGCCCTTGCAAATGTTTGGTTTTGTCCAAAGAGCTGCATGTCAAGCCCTGATGTGCCACTGTGCTCAGCATCATCTCTTCCTCTTTCAGGAGAAGATGGGCATCCAGTGGGAGGCTCGTGAGGACGCGTCAGACGGTGAGGAGGATAACGAGGCGGGAGGAGAGGCGGAGGAGGACGACCATCACATGGAGTTCTGCAGGGTGTGTAAGGACGGCGGAGAGCTGCTGTGCTGTGACTCCTGCCCCTCATCATACCACATCCACTGCCTTAACCCACCACTGCCCGAGATTCCCAACGGAGAATGGATCTGCCCTCGCTGCACTGTGAGTCAACTGCGTTACAAATAGGTTTAAAGGTCAGGGGTCATATGTGACACTGTCAATTTTCCAGAAATGTCATAATCGACTGATCTATTAATTGATTTATCATTAATGTTACTACAGCAAAACGCATGTCGGAGACTCAAATAGCATACAGATTGCCTGCTTTTGAAATCTAATATAAGTGTAATACCATTAAAATATTTTATATAATATACGTGCATAGTACTATAATATTGTTAGATGACCGTAAATTATAGAAGTAATACAAATGTACTACCAAAACAAGATATAATTATAAATGCAAGTTGTATTTACAAAATAGTTTTATTCAGTACAAACAGTGTACTTTTGAATTGTAGTATAATTAATATAAACGTAATGCGATTAATATATACATTTTCGTCATTCTAATATTTGTATATTTTATATTATATACATGCATAATAAATAAATATAGTATTTAAGTGTAAATTTAATTGGGACTCAAATAGTGTACAAATAGCTTGCTTTCGAATTATAATATAATGTAAATGTAAATAACATCAATATGTAAATATAAGTAATACTTATGTATTTTATATAATATACATGTATAATAAACATAATTACTATATAAATAAAAAAATTTATTTGGGACTTTAATAGCATGTACAAATAGCCTACTTTGCAAAGCTACTGATATGCAAATCTAATGTAATATACATGCATAATAAATAATATTCAAATATAAGTAGCTAAAGTAAATGTAATTGGGACTCTAATATGCAAAGAAAACTACTTTTGAATTATTTAGACATATAATTTAGAATTAATATAAATGTTGTTTATAAATAATTGGGATTCAAATGTACAAATAAACCTAGCTTTGATAATTTGAATAAATATGCTTAAATATGAGTATTAGTAATGTATGGGTATTATTCTTTTCAGTCCACTTTTTAATATATTTAGACTTAATTAGGTATATATTTAATTAACCATTGCTTTTTATTTTTGATAATAATGTATACAAGAAATACAGGTTTGAGTTTTTCCACATTGAAACTTCCCTTTGCGCATCGTGAAATCATTTACACCTCATTTTTTCCCTCCAGTGTCCTACTATGAAAGGTAAGGTGCGGAAGATTCTGACCTGGCGCTGGAGTGAACCTCCTCCCCCGACCCTTGTGCCGCGGCCCAGTGACCTCCCAGCTGGTGCTCCCAACCCCAAACCATTGGCTGGTCGCCCTGATAGGGAGTTCTTCGTTAAATGGCATAATATGTCCTACTGGCACTGCTCCTGGGTTTCTGAGCTGCAGGTAACTGCACTGGTTCTTATTGTGGTCTTAAAATGCCATTTTGAATCCAGATTCAGGCTGAATTCACACTCAATTAGTTTGCTTGGTCCTAATCTTGGCCCGCATCTTCTCTCACTCTCTCTAGCTGGAGATGCACTGTCAGGTGATGTTCAGAAACTACCAGCGCAAGAACGACATGGACGAACCCACACCCATAGACTTCGGCGGGGATGGAGAGGAGGAGAAGAGCGACAAGAGGAAGAAGAAAGACCCCACCTATGCTAAGATGGAGGAGAAGTACTACCGCTTTGGCATCAAGATGGAGTGGATGATGATTCACCGTGTCCTGAACCATAGGTGAGATGAGCTTCAAGAACTTTGGCTTGAAACGCTTTGGATCAGTTTCATGGCTTTGCGCACTTTGTCGTACCTCTTGTGTTTTATTCTTTTCAGTGTGGATAAGAAGAATAACTGTCACTACCTCATCAAGTGGAGGGATTTGACATATGATCAAGCCACCTGGGAGGCAGAGGATATGGATATACCAGAGTTTGACACCTACAAACTGCAGTACTGGAACCACAGGTATATATGTGCACGGAAACTGCTGTTAAAGACGCAAAACAGCAGAGTATTTAACTTCCAAAATAATGTGAAGTAACATGCTGAAACTCTTTAATATACATTTGTTATTTAAATGATTTATGCAATTTGTGACAATGTTATTTTAGTGTTATTTATATACTATTATAGTTTTGACTTGGATTCTTTTTTTTAATTCATATTTTTAGTTTTCGTTTTAATTCTAGTAATTTTATGTGCTTTTGTAACCATTTTTAAAATATTGATATTTAGGTTTAATTTATTTTTATTTTATTTTATTTATTATTTATGTACTATTATCATTTATATTAATATTTTGCATTGGAGTTTTTAAAATATATTTTCAGTTGTCATTTAAATTTTGGTTTTAGCATTTTTTTCTTTAATATTACTATTTAGGTTTATTTTTATTTTAGTTTTTTATTTATTCGTTTAAAGTTTATATCAATGTTTTGAAGTACCTTTTTATAAAAAGTTTCGGTTTTCTTGCTTATGTAATTTAAGTATTACTATTTATGTTTTATTTTAGTTGTTTCAGTTCAATTTTAGTTTTTTAAAAATTTAAATATTTCCAGTTGGTAGTTGAATGGTAGTTGGTAGTAGAATTCAAATTAGAAAGTGTTTTTGTCTAATAACTTTATTTTGTCTAATAACTTTAAATTGCAAAAAAATTAAATAACAGTTTTAGTTACCTTTTGGTATGCAAGAAAAACTTTTAAAGGCAGTGAAAGTTGTACAAAAGAATATGAAAAACATTTTCTTTTTTAATTTTAAGAAATTAATTCATTACCCTAAACTTGATAACACAAAATGTGAAATCTTTAGGCCTATAGACCTGAAAACGCACATATTGATCCACACCTCATCAGATTCATTTTTTTTTCGTCTTAAAGGGAGTTGATGATGGGTGATGAAGGTAAACCAGGAAAGAAGATGAAGATCAGAGGAAAGATCCTAAACTTGATAACATAAAATGTGAAATCTTTAGGCCTATAGACCTGAAAACGCACATATTGATCCACACCTCATCAGATTCATTTTTTTTTTCCTCTTAAAGGGAGTTGATGATGGGTGATGAAGGTAAACCAGGAAAGAAGATGAAGATCAGAGGAAAGATGCGGAAACTGGACCGACCTCCAGAGAACCCTGTGGTGGATGTAAGTGAGCTTCATTGTTTTGATCCTACACACTACTTACAGCACCTTTTTGACCCAACTGCACCCTTCACTTGCTCATCGATGGCTAAAACCCATTTCTTATCCTCCTGTAGCCTACTATTAAATTTGACCGTCAGCCAGAGTATCTGGACACTACGGGCGGGACGCTGCATCCGTACCAGCTGGAGGGGCTCAACTGGCTCCGCTTCTCCTGGGCTCAGGGAACCGACACCATCCTGGCAGACGAGATGGGTCTGGGAAAGACCGTGCAGACTGCTGTTTTCCTCTATTCCCTGTATAAAGAGGTGTGCAGTTTTATGTTTTTAATGGAATTGAACAAAGAATTCAAATAGGATGTGCTTTATTAGTCATCGTAATCCAAGAATAACTAAACTACTGTTCAAAAGTTAGGGGTTGGTAAGCTTTAAAAAAAATATTTTCGAAGAAAGTCTCTTATGCTTACCAAGGCTTCATTTATTTGCTCAAAAATACAGTAAAAATAGTAATATTGTGACAATATTACAATTGAAAAAAAATACTTGAATATCTTTTATAATGTAATTTATTCCTTTGGCGAATTGGATTTTCATCAGCCATTACTTCAGTGTTATTTGTATAGAGCTTCACAAATGTTACAGAGCTGCTTTACATAAATCGTCATGCAACCAGTGAGGAAAAACAACAGTGGTAATAGAAAACTCCACTCATAGAAGCATGCACTATTCAACTATTTATGAATATTTGTAAGTTGTAAGGAAGCATAAATGAATACTTAAATGAAAATCTGCATATAGTTTTATGAAAAAAAACCCCAACATTTCAAATGGATCCCTTCAGTACCATCTGGTGGCCCCCTGGGTATCTGCAGACAAAAATGACTCTCTCTCTCTCTCTCTGTCTCTCTCTCTCTCTCTCTCTCTCTCCTGTATAAAGAGGTGTGTGGTTTTATGCTTTTGTTTGAATATATTTTGTATATTCAAACAAACTGGATTTTCAGCATCATTATTTCAGTCTTCAGGGTCACATGATCCTTCAGAAATCACTCTAATGTTTGGTGCTCAAAAAATATTTCTCATGCTCAATGTTGAAAACAGTTGAATATTTTTGTGAAAAACCATGATAATTTTGTTCAGGATTGTTCGATGATTAGAAAGTTCAAAAGAACACTTGGTCAGTTTAATGCTTCCTTACTTTCTTTACATAAAATAAAGTAATCTTAACCGTCCACAAAGTTTTAAATGGTAGTGTATGTTTTCATAAAATGCTGTTGCCAAATAGTGTGTTACGTTTTGTAAGTTTAGAAATGTCATGTTAAAATTTAATGTTGCCAAACCATTGAATGTTACGTTACTACCTTCGTACAGAATGCCATCTTTTTTCAGTTTTAAAATGCTGGTGTCTTGTTCTCCAGGGTCATTCGAAGGGTCCGTTCCTGGTGAGTGCCCCCCTGTCCACCATCATTAACTGGGAGCGAGAGTTTGAAATGTGGGCCCCGGATATGTACGTCGTCACATACGTCGGAGACAAAGACAGCAGGGCTGTCATCAGAGAAAACGAGTTCTCCTTTGAGAACAACGTCATCCGCGGTGGCAAGAAACCCTCTAAGATGAAGGTTAGTGAGTTGGAAAACTACTCTTTCCATTGAAGAATCTTAAGTCTCTTGAATCTATATATATATATATATATGAGTGATTGTTTCCTCATGGTCATGCAGAAAGAAGCCTCCGTGAAGTTCCATGTGCTGTTGACCTCCTATGAGTTGATCACTATTGACACGGCTGTTCTGGGCTCCATCGACTGGGCTTGTTTGGTAGTTGACGAGGCCCACAGACTGAAGAATAATCAGTCAAAGGTGAGACCAACATAGATTATGCAATAATGATGTAGTTAAAACGAGTTAAATTTACTGATTGGTACATTTTTGTGGTGGTTTGGGGTTTTAATGCTTTGCTGTGGTGTTTTGTATAGTTTTTCAGGGTGCTGAACAACTACCCACTGCAGCATAAGTTGTTGTTGACTGGAACTCCTCTACAGAACAACTTAGAAGAGCTTTTCCATCTGCTTAACTTCCTCACACCAGAGAGATTCAGGTGCGTTTCTGATTCATTTCAAATCTAAATGATCATGCAGTCTTGAAATTCTTTTTAATATTATGTCATGTTATTACATAAAAATAAAGAAAATAAATAATAAATGTATAAATATATAAATAATCATTTTATAACAAATGATTAATTGTAATAACACACGCAAAATTATATATGATTTAGTTATTAATTTTAAAATAATTTGTATTTTCTCTCTCTCTCTCTCTCTCTCTCTCTATCTCTCTCTCTCTCTCATTCTGCAGTAATCTTGAGGGTTTCTTGGAGGAGTTTGCCGACATTGCCAAGGAGGACCAGATCAAAAAGCTTCACGACATGCTGGGACCACACATGCTCAGGAGACTCAAAGCTGACGTGTTCAAGCACATGCCTTCCAAAACAGAGCTCATCGTCCGAGTTGAGCTCAGCCCCATGCAGAAGTGAGTATGTGATGAGGAATAGACCGAGAAGTAGGTTACAGGAGCCAGAGTTTCTAAATCATTTATCTGTGAATCCAGGAAATATTACAAGTTCATCCTGACCCGCAATTTTGAGGCTCTGAACACTCGTGGTGGAGGAAACCAGGTTTCTCTGCTGAATGTCGTTATGGACCTCAAGAAATGCTGTAATCATCCCTATCTCTTCCCTGTTGCTGCTATGGTACGGTCCTCTTTTTCCTGTGGCTTTAATAACAGACCAATAACGTGTCATATTATGTGATATTTGAGTAAATTGCATATTGATGAAACTGAAAAGATTGAGATGTCGTCCGATTGGCTGTGTGAAACAGGAAGCTGCCAAGATGCCCAATGGGATGTACGAAGGCAGCGCCTTGACTAAATCTTCTGGCAAACTGCTGCTACTGCACAAGATGCTGCGGAAACTCAAGGAGGGCGGACACAGAGTGCTCATCTTCTCTCAGGTAAACGAGCATTTATTTATTAGGATTCATTTACCTCTTAGGCAAATTAATGCTTCTTATCTCTGAAGCAAATCCTCCCCTCACACTCAATATCAAACTTTATTCTGTCTCTCATTACTATAATTTTTTTTGTATCGATAAAAATAAATATTACTATTAATAGGTATTAAATATTTATACTGCCGTTCAAAGGCCAGATTTTAGTTTTTTAAAGAAATGAATACTTTTATTTAGCAAGGAAACATTCAATTAATAAAGTGACAGTAAAGACATTTCTGATACATTTTTTTTTTAAATAAATGCTGTTCTTTTGAACTTTCTAAAAATCTAAGAATCCTGGAAAAATACGGTTTTCTGCAAAAATATGAAGCAGCACAACTTTAGTTTAACAGTGATATTTAGAAATGTTTCTTGAGCAGCAAAATGGCATTAAATAAATTACATTTTGAAATATATTTAATAGAAAACACTTATTTTAAATTGTAATAACATTTCACATTATTATTATTTTTACTATATTTGTAAACTGTATTTTTTGTTTTTAATGACAAAAATGCCTAGAATGCACAGCAGGAGTTTGAGATGTTTTGTTTCTCTTCTCTAGATGACCAAAATGTTGGACCTGCTAGAAGACTTCCTGGAGAACGAGGGCTACAAATATGAGCGCATTGATGGAAGTATCACAGGAGGCATGAGACAGGAAGCCATTGACCGCTTTAATGGTGAGACCAGATGTTTGCTATGTAACTGATGTGGTTTGTACATTTGTTCTCTCTTGCTCTGTAAAAACTCCATTTCTAAGTGTCATAATGAATGGGATTTTTCCTGCTCTAGCTCCTGGTGCTCCCCAGTTTGCTTTCCTGCTGTCGACCAGAGCCGGTGGTCTGGGTATCAATCTGGCAACCGCAGACACCGTCATCATCTATGACTCTGACTGGAACCCTCACAATGACATTCAGGTGAGATCAGGCATCAGCAATGGATGTCTGTGATGTTTGATATAAGAAAAATCTTATAATAAGATCTGACTTGGTAAATTCATCTACACTGGTGGTTGGTGTTTTCTCTTGTAGGCCTTTAGCAGAGCTCACAGGATTGGTCAAAACAAGAAAGTTATGATCTACCGCTTTGTGACCAAAGCCTCTGTAGAAGAGAGAATTACTCAGGTACACTACAATTTTTCTGTGACAATTTTTTTTTTTTTTTTTTTCCCACTGTCTTTTGAATCTAAACTGATTGGTCTTCATTTAATCTCAAGGTGGCCAAGAAGAAGATGATGTTGACTCACTTGGTTGTGCGTCCTGGATTGGGCTCAAAGACCGTATTTTATAGTTATAGTATACTGTAAAGCAAAACTGTAATTATTATTTTTTTTTAGAAATGCTTGATTTATTTTATATTATAAATTTTATATAATATTCTTAATTTTTTATTTTTCTTAAATACCGTTTACTTTTACAATAGTAATAGATTATTTTTTATTTTATTTCATTTATTTGAATAAATACTGTTTATATTGTAATATTTCATTGTTTAACTGTAGCAATAACTATTATTATTTTAGCTTATTAGTTTATTTTTTGTTAATAGTTATACTGATATATAATAAATCTTTGGCCAAATTGTGAAGTCATACAAACAAGAACAGCAAACCTAGAGTTTATTTACAAAAAAAGTTTATTTTGCATATTAAATGCCAATTGCAATTTTTATCTGAAAATTTATCTGAAAATATTCCATTAGCATAGTTTTTTGACAAATCGTGTAGCCTTAGTTGCCACACATGCTATGACAAGCTGCGGTTTGGTCACGTGTCTTCCGTTCCATAATATGGTTAAATATGTCGTTTTTACCATATGTTTTTTTTTTTTACCAAAAGGAAACATACCTTTTTCACTGTTTCCTGTCTTCTCCCTCAGGAAGAGGAAGTTCAGAGGGAGATCATCAAGCAGGAGGAAAGTGTGGATCCAGATTACTGGGAGAAACTGCTCCGACACCATTACGAGCAGCAGCAGGAGGATTTGGCTCGTAATCTGGGCAAGGGCAAGCGAATCCGCAAACAGGTCAACTACAACGATGGCTCTCAGGAGGACAGAGGTGAGAGATGTGCTAGCACTATTAAACTATAAACCACACTTGAAGTGTTTTGTCCAGGTTTATATAAACAGCCATTGAAAGTGCTTTTAAGTTTAAATGTTAATCGTTTCTTGTTTCGTTACAGACTGGCAGGATGATCAGTCTGATGGCCAATCAGATTACTCCGTTGCTTCAGAGGAAGGAGATGAGGACTTTGACGAACGAACAGAAGGTGAGACCAGCGTGACGATGATCAAACAAAGGATTTTTTTTTTTTTTAATCAGAAAAAAATTCAAATGTTTAAACCCCTTTTCTGAGGCCAATTTTTCGCTGTCTACTTGCAGCCAATTCACGGCGACCCAACAGAAAAGGCCTCCGAAATGACAAAGACAAACCCCTGCCCCCCCTGCTGGCCAGAGTGAGCGGCAACATTGAGGTGAGTGAAGGATACCTGGGATTTATGTTTTCTTGAACTCGAACTTGAACTTGTGTTTTGAGTTTAACATACTAAAACACTGTTTAAATTTGGCAGGTGTTGGGTTTTAATGCTCGTCAGAGGAAGGCCTTCCTGAACGCAGTGATGCGTTATGGGATGCCACCTCAGGACGCCTTCACAACCCAGTGGCTAGTCAGAGACTTGCGTGGCAAATCAGAGAGGGAGTTCAAGTAAGTTTGAGCTTATTTAGTTTTTTTTGTTTTTGTTTACAACTAGGTTACAAATATTATATATATATGGGGGAAAAATATGAATATGATTTATTTTAGTTACAAACTGTGCAAGATGTCATCAGTTCTTGGCCTAACTTTTATTTTTGAGGGTTTTGTAAGTATTTTAAGGTTGTGACCAGATTAAAAATATTTCACAGGAAACTGAAAACTGAGCATGATTTTTTTTTCCTACAAAAATTGCAAGAAGTCATAGTTACAGGCTTAAACTCTTTTGGGTTTTCTTCATAATAAAAATGTTTAACTTTCAAATTTGCACTACAGTTCAAAATTATTATTATTTTTTTTTAAATGAATGCTCTTCATCAGCAAAGATGCGTTAAATTAATCAAACTGAAGTCTGGAGTAATGGCTGCTAAAAATTCAGCTTTGCATCACAAGAATAACTTTTATTTTAAAATATTTATTAAAATAGAAATGGTTACTTTAAGTTGTAATATTTTACAGTATTGCTATTTTTACTGTATTTTTGATTATATAAATGCAGCCTCGGTGAGCATAAGACACTCCTTTCAAAAACATAAACAAAATCTTTTAAACAGTAGTGTATAAGAATATATTTCCATTTAATGGAATATAATATGTATTTTTAGGTTACTCTCAGGTTAATCACATTAACTCCATTAATCATTTTGAGACATTTATCTATGAGCAAAAGGCTCCTAGAAAAATAAATACATAAAATCCTAGCTAAATATTCATACTCTGGGTGTCTTGGATCTATGAACTGGTTCTAATGGTATTGTCCATGTCTACTTTCTCTCAGGGCTTACGTCTCGCTCTTTATGCGGCACTTGTGTGAGCCTGGTGCAGATGGTGCTGAAAGCTTTGCCGATGGCGTTCCCCGGGAGGGACTGTCACGGCAACACGTTCTTACTCGTATTGGTGTGATGTCGTTGATCAGAAAGAAGGTAAATGAGTAATGTATTGTAGTTAACATGCAGTACAAATGCCAAGTTTACGAACAGATCATATGAAATTTGCAAGATTCATGAATAGCAAAATCCATTTTGCATTGATGTCTAATTGTTGTTGTTTGGATAACTTCCTTTTTCAGGTACAAGAGTTCGAGCATGTGAACGGTCAGTGGTCAATGCCCTGGATGATGGAGCTAAACGAGAATAAAATAGCGTCCACCGCCAGCAGTCAGCCTGATTCACCCAGCAAAACGCCCTCTACTGGCACTCCAGCGGACACTCAGCCCAACACACCTGCTCCAGGTACCACATATGCCACGACCTCTCAGATTGTAAGCTGATTGCTGTTAATATAAGGGTGTATTCACACAAGGAAAGCCCGCTAGTTCACCTGCTTTGGTCTGAACCAAATACAATGTTGATTTTTTGTTTTTGGTGCGGTTCGCTTTTACACTGCTCTTTTAGCAAGTGAACCAGAAACTAAACAAAACCACACGTGTGCTTAAGGTCATCCATTCATTGGTTCATCCATTCAACCGTACCAGAGTTTGATTGGAACCGGACCGAGAACACCTATTCAGCTGGGTCTCGGTACGGTTGTTTGGTGCACACCCGAGTGCGATTGCTGTATTCACACCTGCCCAAAAGATCCGCACCAAAGGGGGAAGCGAACTTGGGTTTGATTCAGTCGAACCAAACAAGACCGGTGTGAATACACCCTTAAGGCTTTTCACACTGAACGCGAAAATTCCACGCGATGACGCTTTTGAATCGAAACAATAGATCCCTATGGGGCTATTCACACCAGGTGCGATCATTCGTGGTGCGAAAAAGCGAAGATTTTTTTTTTTTCATCCTGTGTCGATTTTTTTCCCCGTCGCTCCGGGATGAAACAGGCCGTCCAATCAGATTTGAGCTTAGATCACGTGCATGGAGCAGCAAAGAAAGCAACAAAAAGGCGAAGAGTGGTGGCGCCGTTTCGAAAACCAGTGTAAACGAACACCGAAGAATAGGATTCCGAGCGAATTTAAGAGAGAAGAATGTGGATGCCGAGTTCTTATCTTTTGTATCTGAGAACAGATTTATTCGCACATGTTCTTCACATAATTCAGTGGAGAAGTAATAGAAATTATATTATCTAGAGTGTCCGCTTTCTTCCATGTGTGTGAGTGTTATATGAGACCGAGTGCGTTAACTCTCTAGATCTTCCGTGTCAAAAAAATCGAGTGAAATATATTCTCGATTATAGAATTATATAATTATATATACGAGCTGCGCAAAAAATCGCGCGAATATGAACGTGGTTTTGCGCAGCTCGTCAGTGAACCAAGGCTCTGTGTAGTTAATGCTGCTCAATGTGAAAGCACGCACGTGATGGAGATTTACCGCTGATTACAGAACCGGCTTTTCTGACAAGATGCGCGTTAAATATCTCATGCGATTTATCGTGCAGCCCTAGTTTTAAGCAAAAACATTAATAATTAACGTACATAAATTTTCAAATGTGGCTTGATGCTACTTCTGTTTGTATTTTAAGATGTTTTCTTGTAAGCATTATAGATGGTTTGTGTTTCTGGCATAGAATCAAACTTTATTTATCTTAATTTAATGCTGTATATTGAGCAGCGGACGATGTTAAATCCATATATGAGACACATATCTGAGGAAAAATGCATTGCTGGTCAGCGCCACCTAGCTTGCAGGTGTGAATTGGCAGAAGGCGATGAATCGTTTCATGCTCTGTGTGAAAGCAACGTTCGCTTTTTCGCATCACGCTCAGTGTGAAGCGGCCTTTAGACAGATTATTAAACCTTTGCATGTTTGATCTACAGATGGTGTTTCCAAAGCAGAAGATAGTGGAAAAGATGGCGATAAAGAAAAGGTGAAAAATGGAGACGGTGAGAAGGACGCAAGTGAGAATAAAGACAATGAAGTGAGTACAAACAAACTGTCTGGATCTCTGTTTAAAGCCTGATACACTCATGGTGAAGTTCTTTTTTGTTCTTCACTTTGAGATTAAAATAAAAAGCAGTGATTACTGTTAGCGAACAACCTGACTCCGCTTATACTGCTGAGAGTGATGTTTAGATGAATATAAATGTGCCGCACGCTTTGCTCTCACTAATGAAATAAACGCACAACAAATGTGACACTGGTGAGAAAACGGCAGTTAAGAAAGCATATGATCATAGCTATTAAGGTGATTGCAGCAGCTTGAAATTTGTCACTCCAGTCAAATCACATAATTTTTATTTATGCAATAGATTGCTTTAAAACAAGCAGTATTAAACATTAAAAAACTGTCTGTTTCAATTGGAATTACAACTTCGATTTCTACTATAAAGCAGCCTCTCCTGTGTGTTCATGTTTTTACTCGTGTCTGACCTTGACGTATTGAACAGAAGAATTTAAATAGAGATTTCCATGAAAAAGAGCCTGTTATGCAATCATAGACCAATGGTAGTTTGAAGGTGTTTAACAGGTGGAGTGAATTTTTCCGGAAAGTTCGCTTTGTCAAGCTTTTTTTAAACTTTGATTTCACTTGAAGTATATCGGTGCCTTAATTGTCATTGTTTCAACCGTGTGAGGTTAGATGATTTTGATTGTTAATAAGCCAATTCTATTTCCTTTTATCAAAAGGTCATTGCCATTCCTGATGAAGATGAAAAAGCTTCTGCTTCTGAAGTCAAAAGCAAAGACAAAGAGGAGAAGGACAAAACGCCTGAATCCTCTTCAGAGGCAGACAAGGCCGATGGGAAGCAAGATGAGAAAGAGGAAGAGAAAGGGAAGTCTGGAGACGCTGATGAGAAGACCAACGACAGCAAGCCCAAAGGGTCTGAGGCTGAGAAGGAAACTTCAGACGCCAAAGGTGAACAAAAATGGCATTTCCAACCCGTAATAATATGGGTTTTCAGGGTTGAATGGGATCAAAAATTTACTTCGTCTGAACATACAGTAGCTAATTTTTTCATATGCTTTTTTTTCAGGAGAAAAGGACGATGAACCTGAAAAGAAGGAAGATGAACCTGAAAAGATGGACACTACCCCTGTTACAGATGAGAAGAAAGGTCTGTACCACCTGAATGGATTCGAAATGATTACGTAGTTTCTGGATCTGACCTACACAGTTGATTAACTTTGTCATTCAATTGGCTCCAGGTCAGAAGGACGAGAAGGAATCTGGTAAGACGGAGGAAGCAGGAAAACTGCAGAACGGAGAGAGTGGCAAAGACAGCGCAGCAGGAGCAGCAACTGAAGAGAGGAAGAAAGCCAAAACACGGTTCATGTTCAACATCGCAGATGGAGGATTTACCGGTAAGATCTCCTGTTCAGACTGTCTATTTTAGAAATTCTTCTCAGGTTTTGTACTAGTTTTAAAACGCAAGTGAGTAGGTGAAGATGTTTTAGACATTATGACCCAAAAACTTGGAGCCTTGATTACCTGACTAGTTTTTGAAGAAGTAGCTTAAGTTAGCTTTTGGTTAATATATTGTAAGTCATCGTTTTCTTTTCCCCGTTCATTTTCTCTCTGTTTTTAAAATAATTATGCTTTCCTAGTAGGGCTGCACAATTAATCGAAATTAAATCGCAAAGGCGATAAATTGCGATTAGGCAGAAGCTGCGATTGTCATGCGTATCTTTCAGTGAAGCACGGTTCTGTGATCAGCAGTAAATCTCCA